TTCAAGAATTAAAAGCACAAGGGTGGAACTCTCGGTAAAGAATATGGAAAAAAGAATAGTTGAGGTGATTGCTTGTGATCGGGGAAGTGGCGGCGCCCGTTGAGGGCTTTCTACCTGTACGATATTGATGTACGGTTACCAGGCTTCCAATGACTGCCGGACCGCATGCTACTAGATACTTTCCACTATAGGCTGGAACTGTGGCTTATTAAAATTACCGTGTGCTTGCATTGTGTCTGTCATGCTAGTCACTATGCCTGAGACCCCACAAGAATCCGGGGATAAGAATAGATACAAAAGCTCCGCATAGAACCCCAACATCGCTGTCCGATGTCTAATTCAATACCTCAAAGCAAACCGAACCATTGCACCCCTATAACGTGTATTCGCTGATTCGATCGAGTGCGCAAGAAAATCAACCCAACAACAGAACCTTCATAACCCTTACCTGCGGTAACGTTCCATATCCGATTCTCGATCAATCAATCAGTCAACGCCCGACTCCTTGAATGTCGCCAACGACTGCGAAGCCAGAGAGAAAGAGGAAGAGAGGAAAGAGAAAAGACGAGAGAAAACAGGGAATGTCATCAATCATTGCTTCCATTTGCCCAGTTGGTTCATGATGTTCTGCACATGGGGACCAACAGCTGCCTGGTTTTGAGGCTGTTGGCCTCCAAGTCCCTTGGCAAGTAACGAAATCAAGTTGGGGTCGGAGACCAAAGGAGCATTTGGCGCTTGCAGAGGAAAGGGCGGTGGAGCTAGTGGCTGTTGCGGGTTAGCAGCAACAGGCTGGCGAGTGGCAGCGTTCAGCAGGCTAGCGAGGTCTGCTGCGCCATGCGGCGTGCTGGCACTAGGAAACGGCTGCTGCGCCGTTGGCACGGCTGGCGGCCGTTGCTGGAGCACTCCCAGCAGCGATTGTAGTGTGGGCCCGTCAAGGGAGGTAATCAGATTGGCAATATTGGGCTGATTGGCGACGGTAGGCAGCGGCGCCTGAGGAGGCACTGTTGCGGCCGGAGCAGGAAGCGGGGGAACCCCAAATGCCGGGTTGGGAGGGAAAGGCGCCGGGGGAGCGCCACGCTGCATCGACTGGGCATGGAACACGATTTCGGCGGCGATACTGGGCTCGACATCAGGGTATTCTAGCAGGAACAACTGTCAGCGAACCACAACCCATGCAGACTTACTGAGGATAATGGCGACTCACCGTTGGAGCGAACATTGTCTGCCCCCCCGCTCCGGTCAAACACCTGCAGGGGGATTTTCCTAGAGAACTGACTCGGGCGCGAAAGCCTCACTACAGCAAGTACGCCCTCCTGGATCTGTCGTTGAACAGCAGCGTTCAGGGGAATCCGGGGTCCAAGGACGAGCACATCCACCCGGAGACCCCGGTTACGGAAAGAGTTCTCCACAAAGAAAATGAAGTTGCTGGCCACGGCATTAGACATTGCATGGATGGTCCACAGAGAAGAAAAGCAGGAACCACTCACCGATCCAATTCCTCGAGCACAAGAATTTGTACTTCTGGTACGTCTCTCGGAGCTCGCCGAGGAACGGGCAGGTCTGCATCACCCTCGTAAGACCCACGGCCCCGTGGGCTTGGGGTGCGATATCTGCGATCTCTCGTGTAGGGCGACCGGGAACGCCGCCTCTCGCGTCGTTCGTACCGCTCTGGAGTTCTATCCCGAGACCGGTACCCGTCCCTGGCGCGGAAAGCACGAGGAGACGGCGAGCGAGGCGGAGGGGGTGGCCGATAGTCGTCACGTCTACGGTGACCGGGCTCATCCCTAAAATCGCTGAATGGCACGCGCCCCGATTCGTACGGACGGTCGTAACGATCAGCCGGGGCTCTCGCACTGCGGCTGCCAGAAGGACCACTCCGGCTGAATTCTGGAGACCTCGAGCGCCTTGGTGGAGGAGCGCGAGAAGGTTCTGCCGGGGCGGCCCCGGGCCTTGTGCTCCTCTGTGGCTTCGAAATTTCGAGATCTGGTGCAACACGGATGAGTCTCAAGCGAGGACATCCATTGTCGAGTGGGTATACTTACGGACTTTGCGTCCTCTAACAACAGCTCCTTGCTCAGCATCGAGAGCCTGTTTACAGGCAGACGAGTCAAGGAACTGGATGAACCCGTAGGCCTGCTTGATGGATATCTGCGCCAACTTCCCGAACTTGTGGAATATGTGGAATAAATCGCGCTTCGTCACTCTTTCGGTGGGCAGATTACCTGCGACCTCGGTCAGATCACTGTTCGGGCCTTTGTCTTCATACACAGCAAGTGGTACTAACCAACAAACAATCTAGACCCCGGCGGGAACCGGTCCCAAAGACCCTCGGTTACGTAGATCCTCTCGTCATGCAGAAACTCATCGTACTTCTTCTGCACCTCGGGGCCCCATGGCGTGTCTTCATCGGAACCCTTGTTCTGTCGGGCCACTACCCGTTCACCGCCACCCTTTCTGTTATTCACTGGTCCTGGGGAGTCCTGAGTCTCGGAGGTAGTAGTAGATGTAGACTGCTGGAAACTCGGCACGGGGGGAGGGGGCAAAGCGCTGGCACCCGAGGACGTCCCCGGTGCGCCAGCCGCAGCCAATGATGGGAGGCCCAGATTGGACTGATAATTACTCTGCTGGGCGGTGTAGGTGGAGGAGGGGGAGGGCTGTGCATTGGAAGTATTAGGGGGGAGCTGGTGATATGACCGGATGTCATCACTGGCATTGTAGTTGGGATGGATAGAGGGCTTCTCCTGGGGAGGGGGGCGAGGGGGAAGTCCCAGGGAAGATTGGAGCGCCTCGTCATCCGTTCCTGCCTGGGGAAGGGCAGAAACGTCTGTAGACAAAGGCGCTGTCTCTGAGACCGCAGGGGCAGAGGGCGCAGTGGAAGAAGGGGGCAGATTATCGAGGAGGTTCTGAAAATCGACACCATCCTCACCAGTGTTATCATCAGCTTTGCTCTGGGAGTCTAGGCGAGTTTGCGGCGCGGGCTGGGCGGTCCAGCTGGCGACTGCGTGGTCTACCTCGCTCGCACTGGGGGTGTCTTGAGCGGCATGGGAGGAAGAGGGAGGGACATCGGGGGGAGGAGGAGGAGCTAGGAGGGAGGCGGGATCTGATGGAGGCAGAGTGGTTAGAGAAGAGTCTGTTGGAGCGTCCTGGGCTGCGGAGGAGGTACCGCCGGCCATGGGAGGCGCGGGTTGGTCTGATGCAAAGGACGCCTGGGCAGTTGTAGCCGTAGCAGACAGTGCGTGGGCAATCTTGTTCATCGATCCATCCTCCACCTGCGACGAATCCGAGTGGAAGCTACCTTGAGTGTTTGGTGGTTGGCGCGGTGGTGGTTGCTCCGGCACTTGCACGGAGCCAGTAGTTCCCCTCACTTCGCCGGGCCCTGCATATTGGCCACGAAGTGAGGTGGAATCATTGGGATGCGCCTGGGAACTATTGCCAAGGAAGGCCTCGGACTTCTCATAAGTCGACGTGTCGTTAAAAACAGGGTCCATTTGATTCTGAAGCACCGGGATCCTGGCAGGTTCCGCGACGTGTAGCGGACGAGGGCTCTCGGGAGTCAGGGTCTTGCCGCGGAAGTGAAGAGCTTCATCTGGGGAGCTGGGCGTCATGTAGACCAGGGGGGGAGAGGTCGATTCATCTACAAGAGCACACAAGAAGGTCCGACAAGAACCACACGGAGATGGGGTTTTTGGAAAATCGACAAAGCTAAGGTGGGGCTATCTTGCAAAATGAACCGGGCCGTTGGAGCCGGGGCGGTAAAAGGGATAGCAGCAACCCAGAGGGAAGTAGTAAAAGAGAGAGGGGTGGGCTTCTTCTTTTTTCTTTCTTGTCTTCCGATGGTGTGGATGGGTGAAGAGTAAAGAGACGGATGGCGAGAGAGAAGATAAAAAGACAAGCCACACACACACAGTCTCTGACACTCACACCCCTGGATCCTGTCCGAGGATAACACAAGAACCAGTGAGACTTTTTTTTGTGAAGGGAGGCGGGGGAGGGAAGGAAAAAGCGCGTAAATAACAAAGCGATAAGCGCAACGGAGAAATGGATGGAGTAAACAGTATAAGAAGAGAACAACTGAAAGGGGAAAAAAAAAAAGAAATAATAGTACAAGGATGGGTGAGCAAAAGGGGAGAAAAATCAGGAACAAGCCGTTATAGAAAGCTCTAGCAAGATGGAGTCACGGAACAACAAGGAAAGGCGATGAGGAAGTGAGAGATGAGGAGGAGCGCGTATTATTTCATCAATACCCAATGACAATTGTCAGGAATTGGAACAGAACGAGGGACAAGCGATCAGCAGACGCAAGATTGCGATGGAGGAGCTAAAATGGTAAATGGAGCAGGGAAGAAACAATTCCTTATCCACCAGATGGATGATGGATGGCTGGACTGCTTTTTCGCGCTTTCACACAGATTCAATCTCTGGTGGTGGAGGGGGGGAGAAGAGAAAGAGGAAAGAGGAAAGAGAAAAGGGTGGTGAGAATACTGAGAAGATTCGAGCTCCACGGCGTAACTTGAAAGTTACGGAAAGGTCAAAGTTTGCGCAAGTCAGTACCGGCGCCATGCCTGATCGGGGTGTTTTAGTGCTTCAGCAGGTCCAGCCATGCGGTGTGACTGGCTGGATCGGACACTAGCGGCGGGTCATGGCGCACCTGGACTATTTTCTCTTCTGGAACTGGTCGTAGTTGGCATCGGTATCAATTAGTCAAGCCCGACTACTTTTGTACTAACTACGGAGTATCTAGACTAACAGAGTAAACTAAAAAACGTTAAGTCCCTCTAAGAATATCCCTGGGCCCCATGATGCCATCTTGCCATCTTGCCATCTTCGGGGCCAGATCCTTGTTGCCTCGCTCCGACGGAGTTCTTCCGTCTGTGGTGACTACACAATAATACTAATAAGTAATAACTAAGTAGTAACTAGACTAGTTAGCTTGGTCTAAGGCTCGGAACACTTGGAAGTCAACTGACTGGTTTGTTGTTGTTATTGTTTGGAGTGCCACCTTGGTGTCGGTATCGGAATCATTGTTCATAATTTCAAGCGGTGACCGACCCAACCTATCCATCCATCTACCTACTTAGTACTCTTTTTAGTCTGAAGAATCTAAACATCCATCTTTGATTAACGATCAAGCTACTATCTCACTAAAAATCGCAACCGAGGCCGACCGCTGCTAACTACTGAGATTGGTGTCTACCCTACCCGTTGACGAACCATCAGCCCGACCCTGCCGGTCACCCTACTTTTAAATTACCTGACGGGTCCTTGGTGAAAGTAACTCCGTCATATCCGTACTAAAAGCTACTTTACTCTAGCTCGGCTTCTGGAAGATCCTCGTGCTTGTTACTCGTTAGCATACCCATCCTTAATTCAATGTCCCTGTTCCTATCGGTCCTACCTGCAGCTGCGCGGCACCTCCCTTCCCCGCGCACTGCTACTGCTGCTACTACTGCTGTTACTACTGCTGCTGCGAACATGGTGCGAGCGAATCATGTAAGCCGTGGATTAGAATCCATCATGGCACATGCCCGGCTTTCTCTCCCCCGTAATTTTCACCGCGTTTCCCTCGCTTGCTATTATCCCCCTTCGTCCCGCCCCACCGTCGCGACACGAACTTTTGCGTCCAGGCGAGCCGCCGCCATCTCGACTCCCTCGGGCCTAGATTCGGACCACCACCTGACGGCGGCTAGGGAATGGGTCGCTAGGCTCAATTCAAAGGCTATCACCATCCCGCGTGACATCTGCGAGATTTCCTTTAGTCGTTCTAGTGGCCCTGGAGGTCAAAACGTGAACAAGTCGGTTGCCGCCATCGGTCCTGAACCCAACCACTCCCATTGATTGGTGACTAACATGTAATTGTCACTGCTACTTCGTATAGGGTGAACTCGAAAGCCACATTACGAGTCCCCCTCAAATCGTTACTGCCTTTCGTCCCCCAACTTCTACATGCCCCGCTGCAAGCGTCTCGATACGTCGCGGCGAAATCCCAGTTTCTGGTCATTCAATCGGATGAGTCGCGCAGACAGACCGCCAATGTGGAGGCTTGCTACGATAAGCTCCACCAGCTCCTCAAGAGCATAGCAGAGGACACGATTCCCGGAGAGACTTCGCAAGAACAACGTGACAAGGTACAAAAACTGTATGTATTTTCCCTCTGGGTATTTAGGATCCACTTTGAGGAACATGCGAACCTCGGACTGATCTAGCGCAGAAAAAAAGCTGCAAACGAAGCCCGCATCAAGTCGAAGAAAATGCACAGCAGCAAAAAGAGCAGCCGCCGGGGTAGTTATGACGACTAACAAACATGCTAACTTTTCATCACCTAATAACCAAGAGGACCTTTCCCTCATTCTCATTGCCCATTAAGCTTGCGACGGAAAAAGCCCGATAAACGCCGATGAATGATTTAAAAGAAATGTAAGCTCTATGCTTCCTGTACAATGCGTTCCGCGTTACGGATAGTCGCAGAAATCGCCTTTTGGAGAGACGCATCCACGCCTTCTGTCTTCTCAAGGGGCTGTAGCCAGCTGATGATCTCCTTGGCGACGTTGGGGTTATTCCGGTACTCCTTGATACGGGCAAATGATGCGCTAAACGCACGTGGGAATTCGGGCGAAGTGACCTGGAGTCCGGCGGTGGGGAATTTGATGTAGCAGATTTGCGTATGGGGGCTGTTGGGCTTGCTCTGCTGCATCACGTCGACCACATGGCCGAGAATCTTGTGCAGACAGGGCAGGTCGTCGAACTCGACTGCCATATCGTAGAATTCATGACCGAAACGGTCGTCGTTTTCGAAGTTCTTCATGGCCGTATCGAAAATGGCGAGAGGGATGGCACCAGTCAGGGCAGGGGTGTTGGCAAGGTTGTCCAAAGCGACTTGATCCACACCGCCATCCTCTCCAGCACCGGGGTTGATATCTTCTCCAGTAATCTTGGGCATAGCGATCATGTCGGCATCCATATCATCCTCCTCCGCTGGCTTCGGGGCTTCAATCGGCTTATCGAGACCCAAGATTCGCTGTCGAGCAACCAATTTGGCGATATATATCAATTCCAGTTTGGCATAGTGGAGCCACAGCTTCTTCGAACTCTTGCAAAAGCGCAATCCGCGCTGCATGTAACCCCTAGATTGTGTCATATCCGCATGCTCATCCACAGCGTATTGCGCAGCGTATAGCCACAAATCGACGTTGGCGGGATGTAACCGCAAGGCGTCTGTAAGGATGCTCGAGACCTTTTTGTAGGCCTTTTGTTGTTTTGCGTATTCGAGGTACTGCACCCACAAGCCCACATCTCCATGAAACTTGCGAGTCGCGCGGTCAAGGATGAAAAAGATGCGCCTCTGCCCAGTGTATCCCGCCGACCTGATTCCCAATCGCTTCACCCTCTTCCGGCGCAGGGTGTCTAGGTTCATCTCGTATTGCGCATATCGGACGAAGTCAACGGGCAGGGCGCCACGTGCATTCAGTTTGTGCTCAAAGTCGGACCGTTTCTTGATGATGGCTGTGATTTCCTCCTGCAAGCAGATGAAACGGCATGTCAGTTTTCTAGGCGCATTGAGGTGGGTAGATAGATGATGACCATGAGCGCCAATTACCTTAGAGAAGATTTTCTTCCGCTCAAACTCCTTGAGCTCAGGGACCGACTTCTCCAAAAAGAAGCGGGCCTTGTCGGTAGCAGCTGACATGATTGCTCTGGATGGCTTTGGCAAGCAGCGACTTCAGCAGTTCCTTTGCAACCCAGAAATCCAGCCAGAACCAGACAATAGGCAAAAAAAGTTGTCGGCATCCCGCACGAGATCTCCACCCAGGGACCTGGCCGCCTGCCTGATCAGGGCTAGTGGCTGGAGCGCGCCGCCCGCGTGTTGCCGAGCCTCGCTCCGAAGGTCATCCCATCATCTGTCTCTCACCTTCAGGGGAATCTTGGGCTTCTCGCTGTTGGGATTCTTTGTACGACCCGCTCTTTCGCTTTTCTTTTCCCTTCTCGTTTCATTTCTCTTTTATTGACGCTCATTTCTATCCCCCTTAGTCTGTTTCTTTATAGCTTATTCTTTTAATTGGCCGGAGTCCGTGCTCGGTGCCTCCCTGTGCTGCCATGGCACCCAGATATAAAGATGGGGATGCCGTTGTGGCGGTTAGTGTCTCTGCGCTTCGCGGTTTGTCAGGCTAATTGACCATCTCTCAGGTCAATGGAAAATGGATCTCTTGGGCACATACGGCTGTGGCCTATACGGCCTTCTTCAGTGCCCTGGTAGTGGGAATGTCCTTGCATTTCCACAAGATCGTCCAGAACGAACACTACGGCTACCCTGATGAATGGTTCCCTTCCGTGTCGGCCACCATCGGTGATCGCTATCCTGAACGCTCTTTCTTCCAAGTCTTCATTGCCATCACTTCCGGTCCTCGTTTTGCCCTCGTCTTCCTTTGGTACCTCCTGACTGCCCGCCCTAACTCCGCCCTGCCAAAGCTGGTCGCTGGTGTGGGCTTGTTCCGGACATTCACGTGCGGAGGCTGGACTTACGTTACCTCGACTGATGATCACGACTGGCACGATATTTTCATGATCTCGTACCTGGTGGCAACTTTGCCCTGGACTCTCGGTTGCCTCGCCCTCAGCCCGAACAACCGCCGCGCTGTCAAGTACCGCAAGATTTTGGCCAGCCTGTTCTTTGGCACTCTGGTGCCACTGATCTACTACTTCATCCAACACAAAGTGCACAAGGTTCCTGGGGGTAAGATCGCATGGATGCTGCTGCTGCTGCTGTGGATGAGATTGTTAACCTTTGGCCAGCTTACACGAGATACGCCTTCTTCGAGTGGTCGCTTATTTTGTTTGATGTCGGATTCGATGCCGTCACAGCTCTTGACTTTGACGCATTCGAGATTGTTGTGAGGGATGTCAAGGGGGTTAGCAGAGGGTATGTACAATGGCTTCCAAAGTAATGCAGAGCAAGAGAGGAAAATGTACAGTCACCAAAAGATGGTTGTCGGTATTTGAAAGACGTGATCTAAGATTCGCAAACTTCCAGGCAGTTGAAGACCACTGCGGACTCTGTCCTTGAAAAAGAGTGTGTACAATCTGATTTCCAGACTTAACCTGAACATGGCAGTTAACTCGTAGTCAGGAAGGGCAAGCCTGTCGGAAATACGTTTGGCGAGGGCTTTTTCTGGTCTGAAATCATCGATGCTGCTGCAGACGTCTACAATGGGGTACGCTTCAGATCGGGCTTTCCCTCAAATTATGTGGTTGCTGATAAGTTGTAGTTCGTCTTCTGGACCCTCTGCACTGCCCTTCCCGTTCTCGTCTGGTGTAAGTAGTGCGTTTCTTATCTGCAGGATCGCATGTCTGATTGGATGTAGACTTCCCCCTTTGGCACATGGGTATTTCCGGATATGAGGCAGCCATTGTCTGCTACCTTTCGCCTTTGCTCCTCGGCATCCCGGCCATCAAATCTGCGGCAATCAAGAACCCTCGCCTTTTCCACCTGCTCTCGCTGTCCGGACTCCTGGCATATAAGGTGCAAGACCCTGCCAACCGCCTCTTCGTTATGGGCTTCGCTGTTGTCTGCAGCTGTGTTACCTGGGCCGCTAGCTTGTATGCGGAGAGGGCGAACAACGTCAGATTGGAGTCCCGTATCCTTTCATGGAGCATCGGTTTGATTCTGTCTAGCGTCGCCAAGTTCGCATGCGCTACCAACAACCCTCTGTGGCCGATCATGCACGCGCAGAACGGTGGATGGAACAAGATTGGACTTCTTCTCGCCGTCCTGGCTGTCCTTCGATCCTACCGTAGACCTGCCACGAGCGGAGGAGATTATCTACCGTCGAGTGGAAAGAAGGGCTCTCCGTTCTTGGCCGGTCTAGGTGTTGGTGGTTTGATGTTCGCCATGCACTACCTTCTTTCAGACTCTAGTACGATGATGTCTTGGGTCTGGGAGGGTTATCCGGTGCGGGGCCCCATCGCGGCTCCCCACGGTGCCGTCACCATCTTTACCATGGGTGCTGGTCTCGTCTACGGCCTCTTTTATCCTTCTGTGGCCGGTAGTTGGACAGCGTTCGGACTTGGCTCTCTGGGTGCCACATTCCTTACCTGCTACAGTCACTGGACCGGATACTATGGCGGTCTCGTTCTCACGTTCTACCTCCTGGCCGTGACTCCCGTTCTCCTTTCCTCGGCCGTTAGACATTCTCCTGCATCTACGTTCGGTGTGGGCTGCGTCTTGTACATTTTCTTGATTCTGTTCCACGTTTGGGTCGTTGCTTACGCCTTTGTTCCTGGCGGATACCTCGTCAGAGAGCACACGGATTGGGTCGTGATCACCATCATGTTGTCCATTGGCGCTGGTGTCTTCTCGGCGGGTGTGTCGAATGCTTCCAGCCCGAAAATCAAGGCCGTTAGCCCCAACAGCAGAAGACAGCGTTCATACTTCATCTACGTTCTCGCGCTCCTGCAACTGCTCTCCGTCTCCATCGCATACCTCCGCTTCCCCACTAATGACTACACTTCTTATCACAAGGACGACAAAGTTGCCACCATGGGCATCTGGACGATCCACTTCGGCCTCGATAACGATATGTGGGCATCTGAGCGGCGCATGCGCGATGTAATCCAGGAGCTTGAGCTTGATGTGATCGGCTTGCTCGAGTCAGACAACCAACGCATCATCATGGGCAACCGTGATGTTACGCAATTCTTGGCGGACGACCTGGGAATGTACGCGGACTTTGGACCTGGTCCCAACAAGCACACCTGGGGATCTGCCTTGCTCTCCAAATTCCCCATTGTCAACTCCACCCATCACCTACTCCCTTCACCTGTTGGTGAGCTTGCCCCGGCCATCCACGCCACTTTGGACATGTATGGTGAGCTTGTTGATGTTGTGGTCTTCCATTCGGGTCAGGAGGAGGATCCGGAAGACCGTCGTCTGCAAACGGAGTACTTGTCCAACCTGATGGGTTCGTCGTCTCGTCCGATGGTGTTGCTGAGCTACTTGGTCACCAAACCGCTCGAGGGCAACTACAACACTTATGTCAGTGATATCAGTGGTATGAAGGACATTGATCCCACGGACTGGGACCGTTGGTGCGAGTACATCTTGTACAAGAGGTTGAAGAGAACAGGCTACGCAAGAGTTAGCCGTGACTCGATCACCGACACTGAGATCCAGGTATGCTCCTTTGGCCTATTTAACTTCCACGATTCTTTCCCCTCTAACCAGCTATTCTTAATAGGTCGGTAAATTTGTGATTGGCGAGCCGGAACCGGAAAATGAAATGCGTATCCCCGAGGAAATGGTCCCTGAAGGCCGTCGATTCCCTGCGTTGTTCCGCGGCCAGGGAGTTCGTGGTCATCGGTACCATGTCTTTGACGAGCCCCGATACTGGCAATGAGTGTTAGCTCTCGATTGAAGGGGCACATCATTCCAGATACCTCTGAGCAACGCCGAATGTCTTCCATATACTGTTCTTGAGTATAGTTCATACGACAAGCATACCAGCATTGCGTGGCCAATTGCCTGCGGTGATCATATGTGGTCTTTTTCTTAAATCGTACATAATGTCATCTTTTCCTTATTCTTCTATTCAAAGTCGAAATTGTGCAACAAATCCGCAGCGAAGGTGCACTGTGAAGTGCTGTACGGACTACCAGGCTCAGGGACGACGGGGTTGCGCTTTGCCTGCTGTTGGGTTGTAAACTTAGTAGTAAGGGGATGGCAGGAGCTGAGGGCCCTGGTCTCGTGCCTGCCTGACTGACTGCCTGATTGCCTGCCCCTCGTTCTGTGGAACGTAGTCCAGGACTGACCTTCACCTTCAGTGCCATCCTTGACTGAGCTGTGGAATGCGAAACCGCCAATTAAGCATGTTCGCTAGGCCGATGTGACATAACCTATATGACAAGGTACGCGATGCTGGTGGTCTTTACAGCGAAGCTCTGAGCTGGTCAGCTGCCAAGATCATTATTGTTTCTTGATGATTCTTCTAGAGCAGGCAACCCTGTCAGAGAATACTGGCCAGTCACATCATAAAGTCGGATTCCAGCTGATACCGGTTGTGTTGAATCATCATTGTCCTGGACGAGTACTAGCGAGCACGACTACCAAGTACAACGTATATCACACCATAACAAAATCTTTTGACTAAGATCAACACTCAGGCTATCCATAAAAGAACATTCCAACGACAATAGAAACTAACGCTGAGGCAAGTAAGCACTTTCCATTGCTAGTTTGCCAGTCATTCGGTGTCAGCAGTGCTAGGAATCCTCCGAGGAATGTACCGAGTACTTTGACTTTCTTTGTTGATCTTCGTCCCAGTTTTGCCTCCCCTAGATAGAGATTGTTTGACCTTTATCAGGCAACAATGAAAGAAAAGAAGGAAATTTCTTCGATTATCTTCTAGGGCGGAAATGTGCTGAAAATGTACATTGGAAAGGCCAGGAGGACATCTGACAGGTGTGATGAGGGCCATGGAGAGACGATATCTGTCTTTTTTTCACTGTCCTCGCGGGATTTACCGTCCCTGTATGTTGGATGCTCAGCGAACTCAATGTGATGGACTTTTCTGTTCAACTGAACTAACTATCCGATCGATCAACAGCACAACTTGCGAGAGACTTGCTCCTTCAAAGTGAAGATTGCAGTAAAGTGCATGAGTGCTTTTGCTCAGACTTCGGCGGGTATACGAAGGTTTAGGTAAGTTTAGCGTCGAATTCGATTGGCTTTGTTACTGGCAATGCTGACGCCGGCTCATAGATCTTTCACTTTGCAATTTCCGCCTCGTGGGAAATTCTTGTTGATGCTTTCAGGGACAAAGAAGCGTCCAACAAAGTCAAAGGAATACATTGCGCCTGTTCTATTTTTGTTGAATCAATTACTTCGATCGATATAGGTGAAAGGAAGTTCATTCGAAACCTAGCGTGAATGAACCCCTTCGATAATGCAAGTTGTCCCAGATATATTTGACTATCATCGCTCCGCACGGGGTGTCCGGGCTGACCATATTGTTTTCCAAGACATCTTGAGCTTACAAGCCTTTGGGCTCGCATTCTGAGGAATTTAAACTACGAGGCGTACTTCCAGTGTGTACTCGAGCATTATACTTTTATTCAAGCTATCCACATCCACCACTCCAGCAACTTGATAAGCAATGTCTGAAGAACCCGGCAAGCGGCTCGAGGATCCGTCGCAAAGAACTTCCCTTGACGCAAACCCACCAGGGGACCAACACGTGGAGTTTGTCAATGCGGAACCTGAACCCCTGTCAAGTGGTACCGGGAGGCTTTCGGCAGGACGGGGGGCCATCCTGGCCAATGCTGCCAGAGAGTTGCAGGATGTCGCTGCTAAACAGCCAACTAGCCATACGAGCAATAGGCTCGAACCTCTACATCTGGGGACGCGAAGATCTCGACCATATGGAGAACCAGTCGTCCCGCCATCGTGGACAGAGGGGCCTCAGGGCAAGAAGTATCGTCGACAAATGCCCGTTGGTGAGATGGTAGTACCGACTCAGGCTGGCACAGGTGAAGGTTACAATTATAGTTCATACCAGCGGCCGCCTTTATTCACACAGGCCCCCAAGAACAAGGTCCATCGGCCAAAGTCCCCAACTGAAGGACACAGTCGATACTTAGCAGGAACATTAAAGATGCTATCCAAGCATAATAACCCTCCCCAACAGGAAAATGATCCAAACAACGGAATAGACACGCCGCCGACTGAGTACATGGTCCATGAACCGCCATACACTCCGGATGATGGCGGAGTCACAAATCAGGGTGAGTGTAAATGGATTTGGATTGTTGTCACTTTACTTGTGTTGAGCATGTTCCTATGCCTCTTTTTGTACGTGTTCAAGGTTATCAGATGATGTAATGTATGTCTTGTCGGATCGGCGTAAGTCGCTATAAGCAAACCTGGTTGGCGATATATACGAGCTATCTCTCAGATATTGCGGCTTACGGGAAGGATTTGCTCACATTCTTCATGTATCCCTTGCGTTATACATTCCGGAACTTTTTCTGATGTGCTAATTCTGGCCATGTGCTTAGCTCGTGGGGGTGATGTGGTAGTCTATGAACAATATGACCCAGACATTCATCCTCACCCGCCCCCCGATCCCCAGTTATATGGATTTGGAGTACCGCAACAAGGTAAAGACAAACTGTTGAATTCCTCTTCTGAAAGTGATGAAATGTCTGGCTGATGGGAATCTAGTGCCTCCAGGAGGAGCGTCCGACAGGCCATCAAGACAAGGTGCGAAAGCTTTAGCGAGGGAAAGACCGAGACAGCTACGGCAAGGTCTAGCAGAGCCGCAAGTACTTACTGGGGTATTAGGAGTGACACCGGAACCGAAGAGGCAGCTGCTACAAGAACCTCTCAATGGAAATAGACTTCTAGCGATACAAGAGGCTCGACCCCGCCCACCAGGGTGGACAGGATGGGGCAACATAATAGGGCCACATGTCGACGTATACCCGGCTTTGATCGAGCCGGTCGACGAGATAAGAGAACAACAACGTCGGATTGAAGGTGGGGAAGCTGGCTCACGGAGAAGTCGACCTATTCAGGGACCACCTGCTCAAGGACCGCATGTTCAAGGACCGCATGTTCAGGGACCACCTGCTCAGGGACCGCCTATTCAGGGACCGCCTATTCAGGGACCGCCTATTCAGGGACCGCCTATTCAGGGACCGCCTATTCAGGGACCGCCTATTCAGG